GGGGGGGGGGGGGGGGGGGGAGAGAAAGTGAAGACAAAAGCAGACAACAGAAAATGAAAGGGGAAAATACTTTTTTTTTAGGAAGAAACTTTCCATCGAACACAGTAACCTCCAGACCATGAGAACCCCTTTTTACAATACCTAATTAAAAAATAATTTGTAAATGTTCAGAAGGTCAATAACATACTTATAGATGTCCAGTAAATCTAAAATACCTGTTTGCATTATGTAAAATTATCGTAATAATGGCACAAACAGCTGAGCCTACAGACTTGGGCAAGTGTAGTTGTAGTAAAATCTTTTGACACATCTGCAGCAAATCAAATAATGATAAATAAATTATCTCAACATAATACTCCTGTTCAGAAATAAACGCATTTTGCAGTTTGAACATAAAGCTGTGAGCTTTGGTTACCCCAAGCCAGACATTCACAAGTATACGTATGAAGTTCGCTATAAAGCAACAGGCAGACATACCACCTCTCACATCTTTTTAGAGACAGCCACATATATTAATGCTATATATGGCAGGGTAAATTTAAGTCCAAACTATTTTGCCAGCATGCAGTGTCCAGTCAAAGTGAGGCCCATTTACCTTGGCCTTCCTTAATACATAATTTTCCTCTCAGCCCTGGGCAAAAAATGGGGGAGGGGGGGGGGTCAAGCTATCTATATTTGCAAAGACATCAGATCATTAGGCCTATTGGTTAAACTTAAACAAGTGGTTGTTTGCATAGGTGATTGTCAGAGAAAAGTGGTCATTAGAGAAGGTTCGATGTATAGAAAACATACTTAATCAGTTCATAACCTACAACTCACTAAGAAATTTTGCAAACTTCCAGTGAACTCACATAATTATCAAATATATGAATCAAAGGTGGAAGAAATTCATCATATTATTCAATTCCCAAATTCAGAAAAAAAGAAACTTGACACTTGGTAAATTCTGAATGCTAGGAAATGCAAAACAAAATTGGAAATATTAGGGACAGAGTTTTGTAAAGGATCAGGAGTTACAACTACAAAATATTGCTGCCAAAATAATTACTAAGAAACTAAAGCATGATCATGTGACTCCTATTTTAAAAGAACTACACTGGCTCACGGTGAAAGAGCGTATCATAAATATATAAAATCTGTTTAATTTGCTACAAGTGCTTACATGATTTATCATCTGACTACCTAAAACAGTTTTTAACACCCTATGTACCATCTAGAACGCTCAGATCATCAAGTGACAAAACAAGCCTTGTTAAAGCTAATATCAATTAAAAATCATATGACCAATGCTCTTTTTCATATTTTGCCCTACTTGTTTAGAATAGGCTTCCAAAAACTATCAGAGAAGCAGAAAATCTAGAAAATTTTTTAAAGAAACTAAAAGCATTTCTATTTTCATCTTATTTCGATGAGACAGAATCCATCCAAGCTGTAGATCGTCAGGAGTTGTATGTGCGTATGTACGTATGTGTGTATACGTATGTGTGTATGTGGGGGTGCGGTGCGTACAAGCATGAATATGTGTGTGCACGCGTTTGTAATATATTTACTCAGTGTCCTTAAAATTGATTTGTAAATCCATAATAAGTATCATGTTAAGTGCATAGAGCATTGCATAAGTGGATAATATGTGCTATATAAATGCAATCCATTATTATTATTATTGCCAAAACAACAAAAATCATGGGCAGTGCACATCAAAACGTCAGTGTAGGTGTGTTTTTATCGAATCCATAATGGCAGCCATGACCACTTTTTCGTGCACAGTAGTGAACTGCAACTCAGCATCTGTAACCTCAGAGAACCACAACAGCAATGTCTACAGCTTCTCAAATTCCTGGACATAGATTAGAAGAATTTCTGACCACATAGATCTAGTCCACAATCGTCTCAGGGAGGCAGGACTCTTTGCTCGAAGACCAGTTTGACGTAACGTGTTGACAATGACAGCACATCACGAGGCAGAACGCCTCTAGTTGTTCACCGACGAGTCACGTTTTGTCCTTACATGTGCTGAAGGACCACTCATCACTCAGAGTATCACCATCACCATCCCGGAAATAAGGATGAGATGAGAGCAATAAATGAACTGACCTCCCAAGTTTCCACTCTTAATAAATATATATCGTCTTACATTGAGTTCAACGTTCTGGTCCTACGTTCGGTTCTTATTCGAAGAATGTTGGCAACTACATAAGACAGCACGATGTTGGGGACAATACAGATTGTGCTCACCTTAGTCGAGAGACTGAAACACCTCACACTAACTTGAGAAACGATGAAAGAAAACCGAACCCTTGGATCAGTGTTCATCAGTGGGCGTGGTCGACCGTTGGTGTTTTTCAACAAACAGCTCTTTTCGTTTCCTTTCCAGGTACGGTTCCGTTCATACTTTGACACGAGAAGCTAAATATTATTATATTAATAAGCAACTATATTTTACGGCAAATTCGAACACTGTTAAGGGAAATTCAGAAAGATTCCTCGTGGTAGGCACAATGGGGTTGGCGGCAGTAACTAATTCTTTATGATCTAGTCTTTGAGAACATTTTTTTAAAGAAAACAAAAATACCAAAAGAAAGAGACAAGCTAAAACCAGAAGTTAAAAAGTAACTGCAGCACAATCTATCCAGAGATAGTTGATGATTTGTTAGCTCTTCAACTAATTCATAAAACCATTCGCACCTGAGGGAGACTTTTTTCTTTATTCCTTTTTTCATTAGGCTACTATTGCTTTTTTGTTTTCTTCTATGAATTCGCAGACCTTTCAGTTGGGTCTACATATTAGATCTATAGGCCTACCTTTGATAAAAGTAACGATAATGTACCAGTAAATATCATAGTCTTTCAAAAGGGAAAAATTATTACACTTTGCTGTTGTTTAAACCAGCAACTCTTGAATATCAGACATCAGGCAAACCAGATAAGTGTGTAATTCATCCATGTAGTACGACAATTAATCATTACTAAGAGTTGTTCCAGAGAGTATTTAATAGCTGGTTGTTCATATAAGGGAAGTAATCAAACTATTAGTATCGTTGTTCGCAGTGTGTCCTTATTATGTCCCTTGATATAGGCCAACCTGAAAGTCGGCTTGTAAAAAAGTAGCCTATACATTTAATGTATCTACATCAAGACATCAAGATCCTATACATGTACTTGCATTCATCTACCCAAGGAACGATTTTATTAAGTTTCATTGCTGAGAGTGAGATGTTTCTGAACGTCCATGCTTTTGTAAATATCTTCTAGGCTAAAAGAAACGGAGAAGACGCCGTTTGAAAGTCGTGCAAGAAACAGAAATAGAACTGAGAGAATGCATTTAATTTTGATATCTCAGCTTTCTTTCGACAAACCTTTTATGGACGTTTTATGTTTTGCTCTATGCAAAGACATCACGGCATTGGAGAATGATTTTGAATAGATATTTTAATTTAAACAATAGCAAGGAGTTTACTGCATAGACGTATTCTAAATTTAAACAGTTTAATTTTATTGCAAAAACAAAAGCCCACCTTAATCTAAGAGTAGGCCTACTGCATCTCAATTTTGAGTCTTTTCATAATTTTGTAAATCGTCCTTAGCTCAATCTAAGTGGAGGCTGTTTTGACGTTTTATTTGATGAAATACTGTCCACTATATTCTGCTGAAGAAAACTAAGACACTTGCAATTTTTGTGTCAGACGAAGTCAGTGGACAAAGGACAGCACATTGTAGGTCTACCCGGCTAGAAAAAATACCTTCCGTACTAAATAAATGATGACAATTAAAATTTGATTAGGCCTATTCTATTTCAAAGCAAAGGGGAATAGAGGCTGGCATACATGACGAGTGCTTCCTCATTTGCGCATGTCTTTGGCTTCCTGCAAACAAAGATTGGTAGAGGTGAAGAGAATTTGGATAAATTAACTAAAAATGTATCATACTACTCAAACACCTATATTTAAAACTGTGCCTCTTCTTCTCTGTTTTCCCCTGCTAGATGCCATGTGTTCTTCAAATGCAGTCCAACTGACTGTAACGTTTGTGACCGTTTTTCCTACTCTGATAGGTCCTATTTGCCTTCAGGCAGCCACATTTCAATTCCAATGGTCTATTAACTGTCGGTAGCGTCAGGCAAGTTGTTAAGATGGTGGGGCTTACCGAAACCAAACATTGAGGTCGCTCAGATTATAAAAGATGCATAATGACTGAAAAGACAGTCAAACACGCATATAAAAATAGACAGTGAGAAGATATACTAAATAGATTTTTAAATGTGATAGTCTTGTTAATGGCAATACCACGTTTGAAACAAGGAAAATGGATTCACCTGTGAGTCTTTATACATGTACACGGTGTGTGTCCTAAGGTTTTTAACGTTGAGCAAATTTCCCGATGACTTTTAGGTTGAACGGTGCATCCTTCCAGTTTAACTGCTCATGATTCCTGATTAAAACTTTAATATCTCTCTTGCTTACCGACAACAACAAGATGCCAAAGTTTTTGCTGTT